ATCTCTGCTGACTTGTTCATAACCAGCTTTTTTGTAGGGGGGAGGGTACCAGGGGTTGAATTCAGGGGCACTAGGTCGCTGAGCTACACCCCCAGCCTTATTTTGTATTTTATTTAGAGACAGGATCTCACAGACTTGCTTCCCCTTCCTCGCTTTTGCTGAGACTGGCTTTGAATTCGCCATTCTCCTGCCTCAGCCTCCAAAGCCACCAGGATTATAGGCGTGCACCACCACACCCAGCTTCAAAATTAGTTTTGATCTGTCTCCCAAAGTCCCTAAATTCTCTTAACCACTCAGCCACATCACATATGTGGCAAAGGTATGGTTTATCAGATCTTTTTCTCATTGAATTTTTCCCCAAACAGAATGAAACATCAACCCATTTTTACAAAAATGGAGAATTAGCTTAAGGCCACAGGACCAAGACCTGGCTTTTTGGCTCTGATTATTTTTCTCTTCCTTTGTCAAACGAGGAATTGGGGGAAATGGAGCCAAGACCTTGATATCTGAGGAGCCCAGGCTACTTCGTTTATCAAACTACTCAGTCAAGCCACTCAACTGAATGACACCTTAAGTCTGACTCCTGTCTCCTGTGGCTCACTGGGGAGCCTGCTCTGGCCTTTCTCTCAAACTCAKGTCTCCTAAGTGAACTTCTGCTAGCAGGAACATGTTCTATCAGCTCCCTGTGGCACTGAATCACAGCCACTGTTTGCTCAAAGGGAACCCTGGCACCCCCATCTGTCTGTCTCACATACCAGATTCCCACAGTTCCCTTGACAACCCTGCCCTTCGGACAGACCCAGGACCCTGGAGAAGATTCCAGAGGTAACAAGAAAGGACCCTGTCATCACCTGTAAACCCTTCTGTTGTGGGCCAGGCTACATGGGCCTAGATTTGGTCATTACCAAACAGACTCCATCTTACCCTGAGACCCCACATCACGTAAAACTGCTTCTTCCCTGGGAAAGCCCTGCCTCTCTACCCATCAACAGTCGCTTAGCTTAGCGTGTTTGGCAACACAAAATGGCAATTCTTATACAATGTAAAATAGTTCTCTCTTTGGTTCCCATTTTTCTTGGACAGTGTACCCTGTCAGAGACTGGTTTGCCTAGATGTTGGTAACCATTCTTTAACTTGGCCTCAACTAGGGACGTTTTGACCCACTCGCTCTTCTGCTTATGGTTTTAGATCTCATGAGATTTGTTTATGGTTTTGAATCATAGCGACAGCCACTTATGATTAATATGGTTTGGGACTATAAAAGGTATACTCTGACCCCAGGAGGGGGGTCAAAGGGTGTAGACTTGGCTGTCAGTTGGTGGATCCAGACCCCYGGCTGGTGAATAAAGTTTCCGTCTCCTGCTCTAAGATYGACTTGGTGATTTATTGCAATCTCGCCATAACACTTCCATGTCTGAATTTGACTTTTCTCCTCTGTAAAATTAGTGCACCATATCCTACTCATCAGAGGTGTTATGTGAGTTAGGAGCAACACATTTAAAATACCAAGTACATAGCAGGTGTGTAATAAATGATAGTTATTTTTATGCAACACACCTGCACAGGAGCCAAAGATACACGGGTGCATGATAAATAATCTTCCAACACCTCAGCCTTTGGAAAGCAGCTGTTGAGGCCACAAGTGCCTGATAGGTAGTGGCTGCTCAGGGGATACAACGCATTCCCACTTGGCATGCCCGCTRGATAAGCCTCTCCCTGCACCCTCCCACCTTTTCCTCTCCCCACTGTTGATTCCTCAAGCTGTCCTTATCCCCAAATCCAGTTCAGATGACAACATTGCTTTCCATCTTTCTGACCCCACAGACATTCCTCCCCAAAGCCTTCCTATAAAAGGGCAGGGGCTTCGAGGCCCACGAGTAACTCTAGGTCATAGCTCTACCATGTGCCCTTTGGGGACATTCTTCATTTCTTACTATTTCTGAGAAGCACTGGTGGAGCAGTACCTGCCATGTCTCACCTCTGTGATCCTCCACGCCCACATGTCCCATCACTGGACCCGTCTTTCCTTGGAGCAGGCAATATTCCTTTCCTTCTAGAAACATGATTTGCAGGCAGGACCTTTTCTTATAGCTCTGCTTACTCCCCTGTTTTAATGGGGCTCGTTGATTCCTTCCAGGGATGTGGCTGAATTATCATGTGCGCATTGCACTGCCCTGTCTGTACACAGCTCAGTGACATTTTTCTTGCCCTCCTGGCTTCCTTTTCCTCTTGATAAAACCCTAAATAGTTAGTGACAATTAATTCTGTTATGCTTCTTTTTTATATCCACGCTTGGTTCATAATAGGGGCTCAAAAGAAAAATAAAATTTTAATGAGTGGTGGTGACCTCTGACCCCACCCCAGAGGCAACAGGCCTGTGCTGCCCTCACCTCCTTTCAGCGGACAACAGTCTACAGGATAGCGGAGGCAGCTGTGCGCAATGCCACATCTCTTTTCCCCAAACTAGCCAATTTGCAGCCTGAGAGCGGTGCTAACAGAATTGCAGCAGTCTCTGATTCCTGGAGGAAGGATGGGGCAAGCACTGTCCTGAGCCAGGAGCACAAGTGCCATGTATCTTTCCAATCCCGAGCTAAGCCTTTGTTAAGCTGGTCTCTGGAAGGAGCTTTCATGAAAGCCTCCAGACTGCCCATGGGCTTTGGTAGAGGCAGGAACCTCACTCCCTCCAGTTGGCAACTTGCTCTGTTAACAGAATTGATATTAGGCAGGCTCAGGAGGAACCAAATGTCATTTGGCTTCTGAGACTTTGCATTTTGGACCTACCAGAATAGGCCTGGGTCTACTGTGGTATCCTCTGAATGTGACAGTGCTCATATGAGATCGAAACACCTGGGGTCTGAAGTTTGAGTTTCTTATTCCTGTTCCTTCCCCATGATTAGCAGGTTGAATCAAAAGTGGATAGAACTGCTACTGGGAACCTCCACCCTTTGCTCATGATAGATAGACATGCTCGAACAGTCTCTTAGTTAAGACTCTACCTCCAGGCCAGAAGTTTCACCACTTTACACTGGGTCACTCCTGCTTTCCACTACGCCAGGTCTAGCAGCTTGTTCATGTCCCTAGTTGTGGTTCTGTCTTCTTCTATTCCTGGCTGTGACAGTCCAGGCTTCAATCACACCATCCTCCCTAGGAAATGGGTATCTGTGGGTGGTGTGCAAAGACCATCCTCTTCAGAATCAGAGATTCTCAGGGGAGAGTTTTCTCCCAGTCACTACTGTCCTGGATAGCCTTGGGAGCTTGATTTCACCTTTTTTGGCCCACTCATTTCTTTAGTTCTTAAATGAATGTGATCAAAGCAAAATCCATCAATGTGTTACAGAGGAAAGTACTCTGGGTATTGCCTCATACAAGTCCATGGGAAGTTCTGCTACAAATATTCCTATTATTCCCTCTGGGGAGATGGTATTTTAATGGCAGCCTTAATGGGTTCTGAAGAGGAAGGCTCTCTTTCTGCAGCCTGTGCACGGCCTGGGGTGGAGCATGGGCCATGCTAAGGTCAGGTCAGGCAGGAGCTGCTGAAACACAACCAGGATGACTCACTTCCCCGATAAGGCTGCTGAGAAAAATGCAGGCTCCTTCTTGCCCTTCCTCTAGCAGGGGCACACCTCTCAGGGCGGAAGGCTTTTGGCACCAGAAAAAAAAAAAATGTCAGGTCAAGTCAGGAAGAGCTAACCACCTCTGAATCTGAGCTTTTCCTCTTGAGCTTATAAACAGTAGGTATTAATAAATACATACATAAATAAACAACCTATACTTTAGCTGTAACTGAACTCCAAGCCCTGGCTTATAATCAATGTGACCCTGGCCACATTCCTCATGTTCTTGAGACTATTCCCTCCTTTTGAACTTGCCATAATAATTCCCTCATATTGAAGGTACTTTGGGAAGATTCTCTGAGTTTTGGGTATAGTGATTGATTAATAATGCCTATTTTTCTTCTTTTCCTTAAGAATAAACCATGTCCCAGAAAGGGATTTATTTTGCTTGTCTTTTCTCTCTTCATCTAATGAATATGTTTCCAAATTCATAAAAAAATTATTCAACCTATTTAATTGTAAAAATCTGGCTGATTGAGGAGGGCATGAGAAATCTAAGGGTCTGAGCAGGCTCCCCACCCCAGCAGCATGCCTATTCAGGGGACAGAAGTGAAACTCACTCTGGAAGCAGGTGCAGGGGCTTCCTCATGTCTGTCCCCCAAAATGTACTCTTTCACTTCTCAACTTCAACCCATGGTGGTTTAAAATTTCTTTCACATTCAGAACTCCATATCTGGAGGTGATTTTAGAACATACCCATATTTAGGTCTCAGTGAGTGTGGGATACATGTTCATAACTGCAAATTGATATTTTAGGAAATAGATAAGGCAAAGACTATACCTTTAGTCAGATTTTCACAGAATCTACAGAATGGAGACAGACACAGATTTGACAATTTTGTTTTCTATTCCAAGTAGCTTTCTGGAGGTCAGTTGTCACCCGGGGCCAAGTACACAGCCCCAAGACCATTTTGAAAGCCAAGGATTTAATCCTGTTTATTGTAGGTTTTGCCCAATGATGAGATCAGAAATATGTGCAAACACCCTTTGAGGCAAAGCTGGATGATAGGGATCTTCTTGCCAGTTATTCCCTGCTTCTCCATCCTTAATATCACCTTATCCACTTTGTACATAGGGTTAAAATTCACATTCAGGCTGATGTTGGGAGTGGGTAAAAGTGCCAACTCCAAAAATAATAGGGAATCTCAATGAAGATACATCTTACAATGCAAGTAGGAAAAAAAAAATAAAGCTGATGACCACAGTGAAACATTAAAAATTAAAAGAACCAAACAGAAAGGAGAGGAGGGAAAGAGGACCATAATAGCCATGAAGACATTTTTTTTTCCAAGTAACAGAAGAATATAGATTCTGCAATGAATGCAACACAGATAACTCTTCTGAGTTGGGGGCAAGTTAATTATATTCAAGAAAAGACATCATTTCCAGAAAAATCTATTTTTTTTTCAGTGAAATAGTTTAGTTCCTTCATATAGAGACATATTACACAATGTTAACAACCATGAAAAACAATACAAAATGCCCTCCATTTAACAAGTAGAAAAATATAACTAGTATATATGGCAATTGTGAATCTAATACTGTACAGAAGTAATTTATGGATTTTTACAAATAAATTATAGCTTAAATGCCCTTTTAAAACTCTTTTTCCCTCTAGATGTACAACCAGAAGTTACAATTGGAAAGGCTCTGAGCCTAGCTTACTGCCAATCAGTGCCAGTCAAATGTCCTGCCCACCAGCTCGAAGAATTTCTTATTTGGCTCGTGGAAATATTCGTGCAGTTTGTTGAGTAGTTTGGGGTCGACCTGGGGGTGAGCCCGGCCTTTGGACTCATGTAAGCAGCGGTCCCGGCCACTGTCCCTCAGACAGTAAAAGCCCTTGGTTTTGTTAAAGTAGAAGTTCGAGGCGTTGATCTGGGGCGACAGCTTCAGGAACCTCTCGACCTTCTGGATCTCGGGGAAGGGGTTCCTGATGAGGCGGTCGCCGTCCACGATGTGGATGTGGCGCAGCGGGAAGAAGCGCAGCCAGTTCTGCATGTGCACGTGGTAGAGGCTGCGGTTGAGCGCCTTGTAGTCCACGTTGAGCCGGCCGTCCCGCAGCAGGAACTCCTCGATGGACGGGTAGGGCTTGCGCTTCTGCATGTGGTTGTAGAACACTTGGGTGTAGTCTGACAGCACGCGCTCCGACGGGTCTCGCAGGATGAGCAGCAGCCGGATGGAAGGGTTCATGCTGTGGACTCTCTCAGGCACTTTGGGCGACGTGAAGTAGGCGGGGGTCTTTTCCACCGTGAGCTGGTGCGGGAAGGAGAAGGGCATCTGGCTGAGGTACCAGCCCAGGCCGTGGCTGTAATGCTCCTCCCAGTCGAAGAAGTGCACCTCGTTCTCTGCGGCTGCCACGTCGGGGTGCAGGCTGAGCATCTCCAGCAGTGCGCGGGTGCCGCCCTTGCGCACTCCAATGATGATGGTCTGCGGCAGCTGCTGGGCAGAGCYGTTGGTGGCCCCGCTGTCTTGCATGTCATCCCGGAGGGTGCCTGCTTTCCGCAGGAGCTCCTGCTGATTGGGCTCCATCCCGGAGGCCGCAGGGCGGGAAGGCACCAGCTGCGGCTGTGTCACCAGCAGCACCGCGCCCAGTAGTAGCGCGGCCATGCTGGACACCACGGTGGCTTCACTGGGCCCGGCACCGCTGGGTCATGAAGCTCTCAGCAGGGAATGCCTCCTAGTCAGTGGTGCATGAGCGTCCCAGGCTGCCAATTACTAAAGAGGAAAGGGAAAATATTAACCCCCAATAAACACAGGGATAATCCAGGTGACAACTGTAGACCTGGGTGCTATATCCACCTCCCCAGGACTCTCTCTCTTTCTGTATCCTGTAAAGCAGGGGGTGGCAGACATTCTCAGTAAAAGCCTAGAGAGTAAATATTTTCGGCTCTGGGGGACATATGGTCTCTAAGGCAACTCCAGTTCCAACTGTGCTGTTACCCATCTAAAGCAACAAAAGAATAGACAAAGGAATGGGTGTGGATGGACTCCAACCAAACTTTCTCTATGGATGCTGAAATTCCAATATTAAATATTATTCATATTACTATTATTCTCTTTTATTTGTTTTCTTTTTGCAACCACTTACATGTTTGGCTTGCTAGCCCCACCCAAACAGGACCAGACTTGCCCCCACCAGCCATAATTTGCCAACCTCTGCTATAAAGAAAAGAGTTGGAAAAATCCTTTGGACTTCAGCAAACGTCAGTGAAATATCTAGCACCTGGCAGCCCCTCCTGGCACAGGGGCAGATGGTGCAGAAGCAGTCTTTGTTTCTGCATCCCACCTCCCCAGTAAGGGGCTCCTAATTTAATAGGGCAGATGAACCCATGTCCAAGACTGAGTCCCAGCTCTTCCCCCAGCACCCGGTCCTTGCCATGGCCTCTTTGTGGAGCAGGGTGCTTCTCAGCAACTTGATTCTGGCTTGGACCGTGGTACCATGTGAACAGACATGACAACATCCAGACCAAACCCTTTCTCAAGAGCTTTGCATCCAGCATTTGTGACATCACCATGAGAAGAAAGTGATCTGGCCAACTGCTGATCTCAAGGGAAGGTGAGAGATTCGTGCAGCAGAGTGGCCCCGCAAGTCCACTGTGTACAGCACAAATGTCCTGGTTCCTGAGAGAGAATATGTGATTGTGGTTTTGAATCACGGAGTCTGGGCTGGTGTGCTTTGCGGATGAATCTGTCAAATGATAACAGGTGCAACCTGACTCCAGGCAGCAGGGTGCTGTATGTTATGATGGGAGTTCTGTGGGGTTCTGTGAGGACACCTGTTCTTTCATTTGCCTGAAACAACTGGGAAAGTCTGCAGAGAAAAGGAAATGTTTGAAGTAGGCCCAGAGGGATTAAAAAGGTGAGGCTAYCAGAAAGAGCAAACGGCCTTCTTGTGTACCAGGCTTTACAATACATAAAGTGGCTCACGGTTGTCTCAGATGATTGTCATCACAACACTCCAGCGTAAGAGAGGAAACCAGGAAAACTGTCACCACCACTGCGTAGATACAAGGCCTGTCTAAGGACACAAATATTTCATCTTTTTCAAAATTCAGAGCCTAAATTCAAAACTCTAATGCAGGGTTCTCTTTCCACCAACTGCCTCTCCTCTGCCAAATGTCTCCTATGTTGGGATTTATCACATTCAGACAATAAAGTCCCTTAAGGTCACAGAGACTGTGGGGCTAGAAGCTAAGGGTCCCAAATGTGGACAAGCGTCAAGGGATGATGCTTTCTATACAACAACCTGTGTGAACTCTCCCCAAAGGGAGATTGGAAGCTTTCATATAAGTTACTCCTGTTTAAACACGTTAAGGGAAGAGTTGGAGGCAGGCCCAGCAAGGGGACTATAGGGTTCAGAAAGCCAGTAAAACTCTTCTGCACCAAGAGGATCCCTCAGGTTTAAAACTCACTTCATTGGTTTAAAACATTATCAGACTGTATAAACAAAGAACAAATCCCGGGCTTCCCTTTGGATGATCAAGCCAGTTGATGTATCTGTCTCAGGTACAGGGTTATAGGCTTTGGAAAACATATTGAAAGTGAGCAGTGACTAGTTGGACACAGAGAACCACACACAGAACATGGGAGAAGGGACCATCAGCCACAAAATTCTTTAGGGGAAATAGTCTCTAGGGAGGGACGACAAAGCAGCAGGTGTTTCTAGTTTGGTTCAGCTACTGGGATGAGCTGCATGCAATGGGTCCTTTGCTTTACTCAGCTGAAAGTCTCAGACTGTTTCAAATTTCACTTCCTTCTCAGTGTTCATGTGGGTCAACCAAACGGGACCAGTTGTGTTTGCTCTTTACATGTTTGGGGGTGTGTACGTATACCTGTGTCTGTGGGCGCGCGCACACTGGCAATTGGTGGGAGAGGGCAAAGTGAGGGAGGCAGTAGCTCCTATGCGCTAGAGAGCAGCCTCTGTGTAGTAGGCCCTGTTGGCCCCTCTCTTAGTTCTGCATCCAGACTCAGGAAGCAATGGGATGCGAATTATTCAACACCTATGGGACAGAGGCAGCGGCCAGAGCTGAAATTTATATTATCTGACTCTTTATATTGGTGCTCTTTCCACGCTAACACCAGGCATTCTCGTCAGCAGAGTGTGCATCTGGGATTTCTCCCTAAAGGGGAATTGCCAGCAGACAGCAGAGAAGAAACTAAATATAGTTTGTCCTTTATTAAAAAAAAAAACAAAAAATACTGGGCAGTTAGTAGTTCAAAATCTCCTGGTTTCTGCTTTAACGCTTTCCAAAAATGAATTTACTTATGTCTAGTTGTTTTTCATTCCAAAAATATTTGAGGTGTGTGGGAAAAAATTCAGCTAATGTCCTATATATGTACATGAAATAAATATAAACATGTACACACACATACGCAGGGCTCTCGACACAGCTATAGATACATGTTTAATAAGTCTTTGATGTGTGTATAAAACTATATATGTATGCAGCACGTCTAAATATAACATATATTCATTAACACATGTGACATATTAACATATGTAATGGAGTAAATATGCATAAACAGTAGCCACTGGGAGTTAATTTCTTGTCGTGGTTTGATAGTTGGACTTCCTAGTGACACACACAGAATTTCCGGGCCTTTTCATGACATTCTCAGGCCAGGAAAGATCTTCAAGTTCAGGTGAGCCATCAGCCCATATCTAGGCCACTTGGACCTTGACATGGGATTTCAAACCTCAAAGCAGAAAACAGTCCTTAGTCCTTGCTTTTCATTTCATTGTTGAGGAGGCCCCGAGGTGACTTGCCCACAGTCATGGAGACTCTCTGGGCCTAGAACTTTTGGGTCCTGGACTCTAACCCTATAGTTTGGAGGCCACTGTCTCCCAAGAAAATGGTCTTAAGGTAAAATGATGACAGCGTTTTGGGGGTCCCAAAGAAGAAAAGCCCAACAACGTACCCAGCAGTGACAATGCCTCAGCCACCAACACACTGGGTACATGCATCAGGTGTTGAACACATCCATTTGTTCTTTTCAGTAGAGGGGTCTGAGGGAAGCACACGGGCTGTGCCATCAGAGTCCTGGCTCTAGTTTTGATTTTAGTGAAAGCAACTTAGCCTCTCTCAGTTTCTTCATCTTTTAAATGATAACGTTTCCACCACCCTCCAATTATTACTCTATCTAAGGGTGAAATAAGATAAAATGTACCAGGGCTGTCCAACAAAAATATAGTGTGAGCTACATCTGCACTTGTAAATTTTCAAAGAGCCACATCAAAAGCCAACTAATGTATTTTTGGTAACCCAAGATATCCAAATGCCATTGCTCTGACATACAAGCTCTATAAACAATGAAGAAGCTGTTATGCATCCTTTGGTACTAAGCCTTGAACACCAAGTGTGTGTATCTCTCCCCTCACTGCTCACCCCAGGTCCACGTGACATGCAGCAACTGAGGTGCAGGGCACAGAGGGCAGTGGGCACAGCCGTGCTCTTCGTCTGAAAGCTCTCTCATCATAGTGAGATGCTCTCCCCTCTCACAGAGGAGGAGCTCTTGAGCAGAACAAGGACCAAGAAAGTGAGTGTGCACTTGCAAAGAGCAGAGATCCATGTACTATTCCCCCACAAGGAATGAGCCAGGTAATACTGAACACCAGCCACTTCCTGAAATTTGGGAGACCATAGCTGCTAAGGGCTTGGAGACAGAGTGCTCCACGGCACCTGGAGTAGGGGCCATGTCCCTTGGCAACTGCAAGGACCACATCTCCCATCTGAGGCATCTGCATTCGGCAGGCCCTGGGCTGGCAGCTCAGCATACCACTATCTTTCTGCTCACTTCACCATGATCCCTCAAGGAAACAATCTTAGGGTCAAAACCAAGGCTCAGAGGAATGAAGTGGTCTGTGGAGGAAGCAATAGGCAGAACTAGGGATCAAACTCAGCATGAGAAGGCACGATGGAGCCTTGCTCCTTGGCAAGGCCTGGGGTTAGTCACCCCTGGGTTTGATTCTCCACCAAGAATCAGGGCATCTGCTTTCTGGTCACTGGGCCTCTTGGTTTTCCTTCAGTCCTCTTGAACATCCACACCTGGCACCAATTCTTGGCTGAAGGGCAGGGTTTCTTTGAAGAGCCAGCCTGGCTAGCACAGGCAAAGGGAACCCTCCTTCCTTTTGCAGAGGGACAATAGGTCCCAAAGGGAGGTCTGGCCACCTCTCTGTTTACTTCCCTTATCAGAGAGGTTGCTTTCTGGGTGTTGCAGTGACAAGCCAGTCCCTGAGTTTCAAGACTTCAAAGGACCCAAGTCCTCTCCATGAGCAGCACAAGATCTTGACTGTGAAGATATTGACCACACACTAGGCAGAGGACCACAGCAGTTTCCAGATGGAGGCTTCCCTTGCCCTTGGAATTCGTTCCAACTTCTTTCCTAGGTTGGAGACGGCTAAAATGGGACCGGACTGCCCCACAGGCCTCAACGTGGTCCTACAGCCAAGCTCTAGCCTAGCGCACCTTTCTGTCCCTATGAGCCCACCAACTGTGGCCATGGAATTTTCTGCTCCCGTGGCTTTCTAAGGCTGGCTCTTTCTTGTCATTTGGATTTTATTTCAAACACCAGCTCTCCCTGCAGCATGAGCCTCTCTCTTTTAATCACTTCCTGGCACATCATCCCACATTCTAGTCCTCATATACACATTGCTTGGGGACTGCCTGCACTTAGCACCACACACTGTCACTCTGTTGGTGTTTCGTCTGCCTCTG